TAAACTTGGCAGAGGCAGATAATATGTTTCCAATTCTAAATCCTCTCAGGAATGAAGAGACAAACAAACTTGTTGGCATGGTGTTTAATTTGTCCCAGGATATCACTATTGGCAAGTCATGTTCTCTTCTCCGAACTGGATAAGTAGCATCTTAAGAAAGAGGAACTTTTTGATGAAGCCAAGGTGCATGGTTTGCACAACCCCGTATTGTTAGATGCTTGTTCTTGTCCTAACTGAAGACGTGGCTGTGGTTTAGACTTTAGGACCCTGTTTGGCCCCAGCTTTAGTCTCAAGTGGAATATTAATATAACAGAGTGCTTTTTCAGAGAGAACTGAATCATTGAACACAGATAAGAAGCAAGACATTATTGAGGAGCATTCTCAGCTAGTTTTTCTACTTGGTTGCATTGGCAGGCCAGCTTCAGCATGATGAATGACATTGTCTCTGTGTGGTTTGAGGGCAGTAAGCTAACTGATTCAGTGAAATCGAGACTGTTGACCTCATCAGATGGGCCAGTTTTTGACAGCGTATGCTGGTTCCTCTGTAGTTTTGCTATGGAGCACACTGGTTCCCATCCTATGACAGAACTACTTCCGGAGGGGCTCCATCCCAAAACTGCAGAGGAACTGGTGTATGTCACCGCATTGGGATCAATCGGGGCAACCAGGGTGGCAGATGCTTCCCCCCATGGCATGAGGTTGGGGGAAGCCGGGTGATACAGGGAGTGGGGTGAAGGGTTCTGCCTGCTGGACACTGCCAGATTTGCCACAATTGAATCTGGCGATTCCAGCGAGACATAAGAAGTCATGGAGAACCTTCTTTCCACAGTTTCCTCAGTTTTCAGCTGCAATCCAGGTGCGCATGTTATGGGATCAGTTGCTTTCATAGATGTTTAGGAATCTTCTGGAGTCAGGTGGAAGAGAGGAAACACTAACAGCAACTAACAGAACAGCAACTCAAGCTAGCAGACAATTGCAGAGTAAGACAGCTGTGTTTGGAATGACCCACAGCTGCTTTCATGCCTTCCTTTTATGCCCCAGTGGGAGGAGCAAGAAGGTGGACATAAGAGAGCTTTGAAAAGGGGAAGAGCAAGAGAATAGAGACATGACAACTTTAAGGTGTTTTCTTTATAATATTTGAAAAAAAAACCTATTAAAGATAATTACATGGCATATAAAACAAATGAAACTACATAATGAAATCTATAGTTGCATCCATATTTCATTAAAAATGTTATTCAAAATATACTTGATAGTTTAGGAGAAGTTAAATTAAGGTTTTAAAGTAAGCACAAATTATCATAGTTGTTATATACCTGGAAACATTGTAAATTACATCTAAACCTAACTTTTTCTTATGGAGTTTAACCTGGGGAGTCTGATACTGATGTCAGTTTTAGTGGATTTGGTTAATGGGGTGTGAGGTTTTTAATCTGAACATTTTTTGGGGGGAGAGGTTAAACCTGTAACCCCCCCCCCCCTTCAATCCTGGCTTTGGGCTTGGGTTCAGCCAAGGAATCTATTTCATCTTTTCTGAAAGTTTTTCAAACGGAAATCTCTGAGTTCAAGGCATAACTTCTCCCAAACTGTAATAATGCATTCACTATTACATTCCCAATATCTTTTAATTTTCTGCAGGCATTCTCTACTTAAGGTGAGGAATTTCAATCTTCAGTAACATTTGGGACATTCTTGCTGTTGCTTAAGCCAACCACCTTCCCTTTGATCATTGGATTTAAGACAGCCAAAAGTGGCTTGGGAAGGACATCACTTTCCATGCTGTGCACACAGATTTCTTTTATTCCACAGCTGACACTGGGCAAACAGGTTTTGAAAAACCTGCAAAACCAAAGGAGAAAGCGGAAAAAGTGGACATACCACCACCAGCAATGCTACTTTCAAAGAGCTTTGAACTCTCTGGTTTTAAAACAAAGGACTGCTTATCTCAGCTTAGTTAAAAGGCTACCTGCATGTTGTTTAGGTTGAGACCTAGCAAACAAAACAGAAAGACACTCTAAGTTAAAGAGACACAATTCCCTGAAATGTTTACTTGGAAGTAACAAATTCCAGGAGGTAGCTGTGTTGAAAGCTAGTATGGTGCTGTGATTTGAGTGTTGGGCTAGAATTTCAGGAGATAGGGTTCAAAGTTGATTTTGTAGTGGGAATAAGTTACAAATTCTCCCTCTACCTTTTTACTTCTACTCTTGGAATATAAATGTGCAGTCTTCACAAATGTCCACATTTTTCCATTTTAGGGTTTTATTTTCATTCTGAGTTAATGGGAAGTTAGAAGTCAGTTCAAGAGCCTGTAAATTAAATCCTATATTTTCCATTTTTTACAGTTACAAAAAGGGCAAAATTAAACTACTTAACTACAATCTTTTGGATTCTGCATTAATATTTCAGCAATCAGCAAAATCTCACTAAATAGTGTAAAAATGGACATATGCCAGTTGTGGATCTGATTCAAGCCTAACCATTTGAATATTCCAAAATACATGTGCAAAATTAGTAGTTCTCCAGTCATGGCATATTGGAGAATTCTTTGCTATGAACTTTCAGTTGAATAGGGTGCTTCTTTATGATGTTTTTAAAGATCATCTTTATTGCTTGAATTTTAAATAACTATACATAAACTTTAGAATTTAGGCATTGGAGGAGGGGTCCAAATAATGGATAAAGGAAGAGAGAAAAGAAGGAAAAGAACGGTGTGTGTGTGTGTGTGTGTCGTGTGTCTTCCAGTCTGTTCTACAGGGAGTTTATTTTGTATTTCCTCCCCTTTCCCTCTGTAATGGACTCGTACCTTTGCTGGCTAGGCCACAGCCTTCTAAGTCAGTAAGCCGGCCTCCATGTTAGTGAGGGATACAGTGAGAGTCAGATCAGCAGAGGGGAGGAGCTTAGCTATCCCAGGATTGGCTAGGACAGATGGGAGGAGCTGGAGCTGTGAGTGTGAAAAAGGCAGGCAGCTTCTGACAGAGACAGAGATTGGATTTTTGATCTGAAGGGAGTGGGTGGATTTTGAGTGAGCTGAAGTTTTCCTGAGGGAGAGTGTTTAAAGGCAGGTGTGGCTATAGAGAATGGCCTGGCGGGTCAATAGCTGCCTGTGAACTGGTGTGGGTGGGAACACACTAGTTGTTTTTACTCTCTAAGGGACAGGGTATTCTAGGGAAGCTAGATACTCTGAGGGGACAGACAGGATTGGTCTGTCAGAGGGAATTTGCTCACGATGAAGAACAGATACCCAGTTGGGGAGTCCAGCAAGCTTGTTAGGACTCAGAAACCATTTGAGAAGATTGTGCTGTGATAACCATATACGCTTACTCTAAGAAGAATTTAGTTGCGTGTTCCAGTCTATATAAATAAACTTTGTTCTAGTTCAACTTTCAATAGAGTCTCCACATTGATTCATTCCATTAGGTCTGTTCCAGTAAATTTTAACATCTTTTTACCTCAGACACTTTAAAGGGAATTAAAGGAAGGGCTGGGGAACAACAAGCTTTACCTCAGGCATATTATCAGGATAAATTCTCAAATCCATTTGATTGGTGGCAATAATTCTACCAATACACATTTACGTTTCCTCAACACACATCGAGCTTTGTGACAGGATTGTGTTGGTGTCCAGTTGGAGCCTTAGAAAATAAAATCCTTTACTCTGATCCTTCAAATGGATGGCCAGCTGTGAGCAATATAACAGCTGAAGGAACGTGTGGGTGTGTGTGCTAGGGAATATATTAGTTAAGTATTATTCCCCTGGGCCCTGGCTTCATTACATTTGGTGGCAGCGGTGGGATTGAAAGGTTCCCCCCTGTCACACATGTGTTAAGGGACCCCTCGTTCCTTAAACCCTCGTTATACCCTCCCTTTTCCTTTCTTCTTAAAGATCTCGCAGCTTTATATGTATTGAACTATTCTACCTATACCGCAAAGGTAAATCTTCTTTCCTGGAGATATTCTTTGAATAGTCACCAGTCTGTCTTACACCTGTCTTTCTGATCCTCCAGTAGGAGGGTTAGGGAGTCCATACTCGTATAGTACATTAGTTTTGTGATCCATGTGTTCACCGTCGGGAGTTCTTTCATGCGCCATTTCTGAACTAGTAGTGTTCTTGCTGCAGCAGACAGGTAGTAGAAAATATTGTCCTTATTCCTCCATATCTCAAAATCTGTTAGGTTTAGTAGATAGTATTCAGGCCTGAAATTATATTTCAATTTTAATATTTTTTGAGAGTGTTCGTGTACTTTTTCCAGTATTTTTTAACTTCTTTGCAGGACCACCAATAATGGAAGAAGGTTCCCACTTCTTCCCCACATTTCCAACATTTGTTGTTTTGATTCTTGTAGCACCTTGCCAGATGCTGGAGTGTGAGATGCCATCTATACAACATACCAATGTTCTATTAAATGCATTGATCTAGAGTATTTTGTTTTGGTTTTCCATACCTTCTCCCAGTCATCTAATAAAATAGAATGGCTGATGTCATTAGCCCATTTAATCATATTTTCTTTTATCAAGTCTTGTTGAAGACATTTATCAAGTCTGTTTCTGTGTTCCATTCAAGAAGTTTCTGATATAATAACCTAATTATTTTTTTCTCTCTCCACATTATTGTGTCCCATATTGACTCCTGGGATGTGATGTTTTTTATCTTCCTTATAGCTGTCCTTATCTACATGTATTGAAACCATGTTTGGTTACTGCCTCCTGTTCTTAGTTCCTCTAATGATTTTAAAGTCCAAATGTAATTCTGCTTTGACAGTAAGTGTCTATAATTATACCATAGTGATCTCTCTTTTATGGTGGGCTTCCACTGGGGAGAGCCAGAGGGGCATTTTACTATAAAATCTTGCCTTATATTTTCCCCATATCTTTAACAATGTGGCCCTGACAAAATGGTTCATAAAGTCTTTTTCCCCCTTTGCTTTTTGGTACCAAAGGTACACATGCCACCCTCAGCATAAATTGAAGCCTTCTAAACTCAAGATTTTCTTTTTCATTAGTGTGGCCCAGTCCTTCACTCAAATCAGTGCGCATGGCTCAAGGTATGTCTGCAGATCTGGTAGTGCCAGTTCCCTTCTTTTTCTTTCTTTCATTCTTTCTTTTCTTTTTTTTTTGAGTCTATCAATGTCTGGAATCTGATCCTTACTCTCTTACTGTCTCAAATAAACTTTGTAATATCTTTCTTCCATTCCTTAAAGCAATTATTAGTCCTTAGTATCGGTATCAGTTGAAATAAGAACAACATTTTTGGAAGGACACTCATTTTTATAACTGATATTCTTCCTAACAGTGACATTTTTTTAAAAAATCCAATTTTCTAATTTCTTTTTCATCTCCTTCCAGATTGCTTCGTAATTGTTTTGTAAAGGTTGTGAGTTATGAGCTGTTATTTGAATTCCTAGATATTTGATCTTATCAATTATTTCCAATTCAGATAGTTTATGTAGTTGTTCTTTTCTAGGTTTTGATACATTTTTAGTTAGTATTTTGGTTTTACCTTTGTTAATTTTGAATCCTGCCATTGCCCCGAATGTTTCTATTTTCTTTAGCTCTTTATGATGTTTTAAACTGTCTTACTGCCTGTCCAAATGCCTACTGGGGATCAGTGTGAATAGAGACATTATTCAATTAAGTCACAAGATGACAGTGAGTTTAGTTGTATCTGAATAGAGTCAGGAATTCTTGGATGTTATTCTATTTGAAAGAAACAGTAACACCTCTTTTTTTCTTAGCTTCTTGACTGATGTATCCTTCCCCAACAAGGCTGTAAGGGTAAAGAGGCTGATTTGAAAGAAATAGTGTTCTGTTATGGAGGTAAAGAATTTTTTTTTAAATTATAAAATGCATTCTACAGTTGTTGAATACCTTTGAACAAAGACACACCCTTCTCTCTCCCCTTTCAAAAAATTAATGCCACATGACACAATGGGTCCTTGGTTTGGTTCGAGGACCAATATCATGGATGCTCACATTCCATTTTGCAATGACAGTGTAAAATGATACCCCTATATAAGATGCCAAAAGCACAAAGGGCTTGAAATTTACTTTGAGTAATAATTTCAAAGAATTTTTTTATAAGTGATGTATAGGTGGTATTTGACACTAGAGAGGCTTTCTAAGATGCATAATGACAGTTCTAGTAATGTTGGGAAAGAGAACAATATGTTTGAGCAATTTTATCATATGTGCATTTCTGTGTATTTCTAGGTGCAAAGATTACTGCAGATGCAGACTGCAGCCAGGAAATCAGAAGACACTTACTTCTTGGGAGGAGAACAATGTCCAATCTCGATAAAATATTGAAGAGTAGAGACATCACACTGGCAACGAAGATCCGCATAGTTAAAGCACCTAGGGATGTGAGAGTTGGATGATAGGGAAGGCTGAGTGAAGGAAGATAGATGCTTTTGAACTGTGGTGTTGAAGGAAAGTTCTGAGAGTGCCTTGGACTGCCAGAAAATCCAACCAGTCCATTCTCCAGGAAATAAAGCCCGACTGCTCACTGGAGGGAAGGATATTAGTGGCAAAGATGAAGTATTTTGGACACATAATGAGAAGATAATTATGCTGGGGAAAATGGAAGGAAAAAGGAAGGAAGGCCGACCAAGGGCAAGATGGATGGATGGGATCCTTGAAGTGACTGGATTGACCTTGAAGGAGCTGGGGGTGGTGACGGCCGACGGGGAGCAAGAAAGCTTTGAAATATTGAGCTCAATTACTTATGGTGCTAAAAGAAACTGTTAAGTTTTAAATCATGATGAAATCAGAATCTTACTTATTGAGGATGCTGGGCAATTATTGTATTTACCTGAATGTAATGTGCATCTTTTTTGGCTTAATTGTTCAGTCAAAATGGAGATGCACATTACATTCAATGGCGCATTACAATTGTGTGCCAAAAGGTGCCTGTGCCCTTATATCAGGTTGATCCTAGCAAATCTGCCAGGCCCTGCCTAATGGTGGAGCAGCGCCTTCCCACCCCAAGCCCTTTTTCTTTCATCTCTCAGCTAAGAGATGGAGAAACTGTGCTCCTTCCCTCTTGAAGCTCCATCTCCTTTGCCTCTATAAACTTTGCCTGGTGGAAGGATTCTGCTTTTCCTTCCTTCTTTAGCAATTTTTTAATGTGCACCTCAAAATTGAGATTTGATGGCTCACTAGATTAATTTGAATATGGTATCTAGAAAGAAAACAAGTAATATTTCTACTATATATGATAGATTATTACTGCAGTGAACATCATGTCCAGAGGAGGGCGACTAAAAATGATCAAGGGTCTGGAGAACAAGCCCTATGAGGAGCAGCTTAAAGAGCTGGGCATGTTTAATCTGAAGAAGAGAAGACTGAGAGGAGACATGATAGCCATGTATAGATACGTGAGAGGAAGTCATAGGGTGGAGGGAGCAAACTTGTTTTCTGCTGCCCTGGAGACTAGGACGTGGAACAATGGCTTCAAACTACAAGAGAGGAGATTCCATCTGAACATGAGGAAGAACTTCCTGACTGTGAGAGCCATTCAGCAGTGGAACTCTCCGGAGTGTAGTGGAGGCTCCTTCTTTAGAGGCTTTTAAACAGAGGCTGGATGGCCATCTGTTGGGGGGGGTGCTTTGAATGCAATTTCCCTGCTTATTGGCAGGGGGTTGGACTGGATGGCCCATGAGGTCTCTTCCAACTCTATGATTCTATGATTCTATGATTTATGGCCAGAGATGGAAAGAACCAGCCATCTCAATGCAGGAAAGATGGCTATGAAGATTTGTGAATTAGCTCACCTGACAAGGAGAAATTCTTGACTAGTTTTCTGATTTAGAAGAATGTTATAAAAAGTACAAGGGTGGATACAGTATATAGTAATATTTTAAGGGAGCTGAAAATAAGAAATAGAAATTAACAGGCAACAAATGCGAAGCTTGTAGATGAGTTCTAGTAGTATGTTTTGTATGTATTTAGTAATATGGATTTGTTTATGTTAGGATGATGGTCTTAGATACAGTTCTATTAGTTGTATTTTAGTTTTACAGTTAATGAAAAATCATTTTTGTATTGTATTTGTTTTATTTGAATCTTTCTTTCTGTATCTCTCTCTCTTTCTGTATGTTTGCATTTCTGTATTTCTGAATAAAAATCAATGTAAATACTGCCAAAATTAAGGTTTACTTTTTGGATTTTTTTGTGGGAGGAGGGAGGATATTTTCCAACTTTGGATGGTAGCAGGCATGTAGCCGGGGGGGGGGGGGGGGTTGAGGGGCTTCAGCCCCCCCCCCCGAAATTCTCATGGTGGTTCGCGAAAAGGCCTTACTGGTGCATTATTTAAACTGTTATGTTTATTCATATCATGATCTGATCACCATACTCAATATATCCCATATGCATGGGGGTATTGGGGTAATGATACAAAAGATTTACTAGGCTAGACCCTCTTTCACTCAGACTCAGCCCCCCCGAAACTCAGGGGCCCCCCGGAACCCCCCCTGAAAAAAACCTCATCCCCCCCCCCCCAAAACGAAATCCTGGCTACGGGCCTGGATGGTAGAATCCATGGATGCAGGATCTGTGAATGAGAAAGGCCCGAATGTACTGGCGTGCGCCTATTGCTATTACTTATGGATTTCTTTCATCAATATAGCATCAATCCTTAGAACTGCAGATTGCTAGAGCTTGAAAAAAGCTGTTTTGGTAAACATTGAGTCCCAGAATTACCCAACCATCATTGTCTACCTGGATCTTTTATTCTAAATACATAACCTTTTCAACCTGTTTTTTGCGACAGTGTCCAACAGGCAGAGAAGAAGGGGTCTGAAAGGTACACATAAAGCAAGGAAGAAATTGAATGCCAAAAGCGGTGGAGCCCATTTGTTTTGAGATAAATATTACAAGAATGTAATCTCAGATCAAAGAGTGAGAGTTCCTTAAGAAAGGAATGGTCAGAGGCAATGTAAACAATAGGATAAGGGCAGCCATTCATCCTAACCTTTTATTTAATCTTTCTTGTTCATCCTAGCAATAAACTAGGACAAAGAGTCGGAATTCAACTGGCCAAGCAATGCAAACAATGCTAAGTGGTCTCAGTCTATAAAAACCAAGCAAAAGCCTAAATAACCAGCAGGTACCTCTGGCTTACATCAAGAGCTGAATCCAATGATGATTTATTGAGGGGGAAACAATCCATGATTCCTATATTGCCAAAGGACTGGGGAAGCTGAAAGTGTCACCACAAGCAAATTGTTACAAAGCAGTACACTCCAAGAAATGTAACCTGTAGATGGAGATAGGATACCTCCTTGATGGCTTTAAAAGCCCATTCAAGCGGTGAACCAAAGGCTCCTAATCTTCTATGACAAGAAAAGAACAAAGGAAAAGCCAACTAATCTGTTCTTGTGCCATTAATAGGAATCCAAAGTTGATAAATCAGAAGATAACGTTTCGCATAGCTTCCAGATAAATGTTAGGGATGAGGAAACACTAGCACACCAGATGTTGACTCCCATCAGTCCCACTGTATTTGGAAAATGGCAATGAAGTCTGGGAGCTGAATTCTAAATACCTGCAACAAAAAAGGTGCACCAACCGTGCCTTATTACTTGCTTATCTTGTTGAGAAGTTGTGGGCTTGTCTTACTTGAACTTTGTGCCTGACCAGTCAAAGTTGGGTGATGTATCCCAGATACTGTAAGAGCCATTCCTCCAAATGAGTACACAACAGATCCTGAAAAACTATTTGTGGACCACAAGCAGGGCTGTAACCCGGGGGTGTGGGAGTTCACCCCCCCTGAAAATTTTCAAGTTTTTTAAAAAACCTGGTTTACTCATTGTTCTGGAACGGCTGTTCCAGGGGCTCCAATTTTGTGTTTTGCACTGAGTGTTTGTTCATAGTAATAAGTTGCAGGGACTTTGCAGATAGGTGGCTTCCTTTGGCTGCATTCGTAGGGCAATCCACCTGTCAATAATAGTTAGGATCCCTGGTCCCGCCCCTCTCTGGGTTTTTGGGAGGGAAGGGGCCATTTTTCAGGCAGTCATACAAGGAAGCCAGCCTATAGGATGCATATCAGTTTGTCCCATAGGAAAGGCTTCATTCCTCAAAACCTTCCGGGGAAATAGAAACAGCGATCCGGGGTCCATCCAGTGACCATCCGGGGTCCAAACTGACTATCCAGTTCCAGGGAAATAGAAGGAAAAGGTCCCGAAGGCTCTAGCTGAGAGCTCACAGCCTCTCAGCCTCACAGCACCAGAGGGGGAAAACAGCCCTGAAGTTTCCACAGGACAGCATTACAGAACAACGGAACTGCAGCTGCTATATCTTCAAGCCTCAGCCGGTAAGGTCTGCTCGATACCCAGACGCACGTGGATTTTGGTAGCAGCACCCACGCCGACTAGGCATAGATAGAAAGCGGTCTGGGAGGGATTATAAAGAGTTCTTCCTTATGCTGAGATAGTACAGTCAAACCAAGTTAGTGCCAGTCTCTTAAAGACTTGAATAGTAAAGCCTTGAAGTTTTGTTTGAAGATTTGTTCCTTAATAAAGACTTTGTTGTACTTTTAAAGACTCTAAAGCCCATTACTTCTGGAAGTCTCTAACAATCTCTCTTCGGGCACCCCAACTTCCCACTGGGTTTAAAGTGTGCGTCCTGTAGAATAAAGACATTGTGTACAGGCCCAGTGGTGACAGAATACTCATGATTTTTAACTGGTTAACCAAATCCCCATGCCAAGTCTATGAGAAGCAAAAATTAAACAAGTCCCTTCAGAACTGCAAGCACTATCTCAAGCAAATTTTAACTATTTATTCACACTGTCATTACTTGCAGCAATAGCCAATATAATGGAAGCAACCAAGTTGGCCCAACGATAACAGGCAGACAAGCCTAAGGTATTTGGGGGGGGGGGGGAGGGATTTGAAGGCCCTCATGAGGGAGACCAGACTTGGTGGGGGCGGTTGACAGAGGTGAAGCTGCAGGCTATTTAAAGCTGCTCTGCTCCTCTGCTGTGCTGTTTGCTTCAGCATGGGGTAGGAGGCAGGTTCCTATTACAGAATTAGGTCTTTCCCTCCTTGCTTTCCTCTCCCCTTTTCCAGATAGTAGGGTTCTTGTTGCTATGACTATATATAATTTAATAATTTAATAATTTAAATTTTCAACTCTTAAGCATTTGAAAACATTCATAAGAAGCACAATGGGGCAAGAAAGACTGGACGTGCACTCTTAAGTGACAACCAAAGTTTATCAATGGAGCCTGATTTCTGTCAAAGTGTATTGACACAGTTTTCAAGTGTTTCCAACAGACGTTGTGGTATTTTTTTTGTAACTATAAATTACCAATTAACAGTCATTTTCAGTTATTTTAAGATTGGAAACTTTGTGACTAAAATAGAAAATTCATTTAATTAAGCCTATATAAAATATAGCATGAGCCATACTATTTAAATTATTTTATGTTATGGAACTACTCTTCATGATTTGCTAAAAAAAAGTTTCAACCCTGCCCGATTTTTTTCTGGCTATAGCACTGACCACAAGTACCAGAATCTTGCATTTTGGCTGAGGGATTTTAAGATCTATAGGCCAAAAAGGTAGTCATTCCAAGTTCCACAATACCAAATCCTTTGATGGGAGATATGATCTCCATTTTCTAGTACCTGAATATTTCAGGGACAATCACATCCATGCTCTGGTAAAAGAAGGGTAATTAATTTGATTAATTCAGGGGAAAATAATACTTAGATTTGGTGTGTAACCCTGTCTGCCAGCAGAAGTACCCCATTTTTAGTAGAATCCTCTTCTTCCAGTTTAACTCAAAGAGTTACAGATAGTATCAACTGTCATAAGAGCCAAAAGAAAACAAGAAGATGAACCAAGACAGGGGTGAACCCAAGAACTGAATGATCCTTGTAGTCCCCTCCCACTCTATGATTCTATGATTGTATGCTTTAATTCAAGGACACAATCACAATGCTAGCACAAAATTAGACTAGAGTAAGGGTATTCTGAAGCAATTTCAAGTACTGCTGAACTTTGAAGGGCTTTGGAATCAGTATAAGTCAAACCTCTAGCTAATCATAATCCTTATCATCTGGCACATCTTTAAATTAAGACTCAGTCATTAAACTTTTACCTGTTTTGAGTCTGATTTAGAATAAAAAGTTCCTAATTTTTCAGATGATGGAACTGAGTAATAGGTAGAAATGTAATAGGTATGTTTTCCAAAGATCTATCAGAGAAGAACGTGGCAGCTTTAATCTGATATCACAAGGCATCACAACTGACAGGCTATTTGAAGATACCCAAAAGGGAGACTGAGAAGGCAATGGAAAAGTACTGGGGAAGGTGACATTTTGGTGTGATGTAATAGTTTGTGTGTTGGACTAGGACTCCAAAAGATGAATGCTTGAATTCCCAGTCAATAATAAAAAAACTACTAGGTAATGTTGAGAAGTCGAAATGGAAGGCAACTGCAAACTTCCTTTGACTAAACCTTGCCAAGACATCCCTATGATAAAGGCACCAAAAGTCAGAGTCAACTTGAAGGCACATTAAAAACAACACCAAATAAAAGATCATGAATCTATGATCATGTTGGGGTGAATTTACCCCGCACATTTAAAT